AAAGACAGTACAATAACCCTTATTAAAGAATGTGATGGGAAATTTCATCGAAAACTAACAACTGAAGAACATATATCCATTATATCCGAACCAGGATCCATCTATTTTGGCCACATTGCACCAATTGCAGGGTCAAGCAAAAATATTGCGGCTGAGTTGATTGCATATTTGAGTAAAAAGAATGTTGACCTGGGTAGTATAAAAGCTGTAGGTTGTGACGAAACCGTTGCTAATACAGGCAATCAAGGAGGTATCATTCGATTACTTGAAGTGGCGTTGAACAAACCGCTGCAATGGTTCGTATGTCAGCTACATGCTAACGAATTACCGTTAGGGCATTTGTTCGAACATCTAGATGGACCTACCAATGGTCCAAAAGGATTTTCTGGTCCAATCGGAAAATCATTGGTGACATGTGAGAAGCTTCCCGTTGTCAAATACACACCCATAAACTGTGTTCTACCGACAGGTTTAAATTTTGACGATTTAAGTACAGATCAAAAATATCTGTTTGACTTGTGCACCGCTGTCAGTGTTGGCGTTTGTCCTGTAGGCCTTTCACTTCGCAATCCTGGTGTTATCAATCATTCAAGATGATTAACAACGGCTAATCGAATACTACGCCTGTATATAGCCACAAGATGCCCATTAGGTAACCATTGTCTTCAATTCATCCAATTGAAGACAATGGTTACCTTCATCGTAACAGTTTATGCACCAGCATGGTTTGAAATAAAAAATACTTCTTCATGTAAAGATGGCGCTCGACATGTCCATAATACAATACTGAAATCACGCTACCTCACAGACGAGCTGAAGAAAGTTGTTGATCCAGTAATTCAACGCAACGCATTTTTTACTCATCCAGAACACCTGTTGCTTGCAATGCTTACCGACGAAAAATCAGAAATACGCGAGTTGGCTCTGAGACGTATAATGAAATCCAGGAAGCAGAAGCGCACGAGTTCAGTTAGATCTTTCTGTGTGCCAGTAATCAATTTTGAAGCTACCAGTTACATAAACATGATCGATTGGCAAAAAACTATAATCACAGAGCCTCCAATCGTAATGGACATTGATGACGATACTTTTTTAACCATGATCCGGGAAGAAGATACACCAAGACTGGATATCGCCCGCTATCCTTATCACACTCAGTTGGTGGAGAGGCATATTAAGCTAGTTACAGAAGCTTCCCAAGCGGTTTGCAGTCCAGAAAATCGCGACGGATTCATAAGAGCACGTTTGGAATCGAGATCAAAAATGCCGAAACTGGACACTAAAGCACAACATCATTTGTAGCTATAAAAACATGTTTGGCTAGAGTTTTCATGTGTTTTTCTTTTCAAATATTTAGTTCTAATTACTTGTAACTTTTGTATAGACTGTTAAAAATGTATACTGCTACACAAATATGTTGTCATATAAAAACTTGAAATTTCAAAAAATATTGTTTTTTATTTGAAATATGCCTATAATTCAGGTCAATTGTGAAACCTCAAGATATGCTTTAAATCGTTTGATTGTTTGCCACATTACTAATTGCATATGTCAGCAAATTTTTATAGCTATCCGACCAAGATATTCAACAAAAATTTTTTTCACTCCACCCTAATATATATATATATATATATATATATATATATATAAATATATATATATATATATATATATATATATATATATATATATATATATATATATATATATATATATATATATATATATAAGATGCGTGTACGGTGTATATAAAATTCCTTGATAGAAGAACTTTTAGTGTTGATTACTAACAGGCTCTGCGGCGGTTTTTTATAGTACCCAGGATTGAGAGTTATTTGGTCAAGTAATTGATTTTTGGAGGGTAGATTTTTTTTAATCACTAGCAACTTTGATTTGTTTTACCAGTGCCCAGCGACGCGGGCGCCTCTGCTAGTATTTAAATATGAATTAAAAAACAAATGTTCAAATCTTCTAAAATATAAGCAATATTTAAGCTTAGTGGATTTAGCAAAAAGTGCTAGTTAAGAACATTAAAGTTCTAATTGAGAAAAACAAGATTTAATTGAGAATACATAAATTGTTATTATTAAAAGTAAGATGTATTATAAAACTAAACATTAACATAAAAGTTGCTGCATGTAATTGGAAACTCATCAGATGTTTCCAACTACAAACAAGTACAAACACGGCTTAAAAACACCCAATAAATATCCCAATAATTAACCATAAGATCCAAAGAAATTTTTTCATAGAATTATTTCATAGAAAGAAACATCATAAAAGTCTGACTTATCTATACCTCTGATAAAAACTGATTAAAAATGAGGAGTTATTCCAAAATTTAAATAATATGAGCAATTGTCTTTTTTTTAGAGAAAACCTTTCACTTATAGCAGTGCCAGGAAACATTGATTTAAACAAAATTGAAAGTCTATCACTAGAATAAAAAAAAAAAAAAAAAAAAAGATGATACAACATATGACTGAAAAGCGGAAACTTAAACTGTGTTTTCTGACAGAGTGGTTGTTACAACATGTATATTTTTTGACACATTGGTAAATGGTATACGTGTTGTTTTTAAGTGAAGATACAAACGTTCACAATGCTTGTTTACTGTTGAATAACTTTTTAACGCTCTCTGGCCAATATTACACAGTCCAATTATATTTCTTGGATGTAAACAAACTCTACATTTTACTGAGGTTTTTCTATCCCCACACATTAACTAAGCTTTATATTCTGGTATTTGTAACCACTGATCATTAAAATATGTTAAGTTCATTATTTAATTTACTTAAAATTGTTCTAGTCTAAAGAAAATTAAAAAAACTGATTAAAAACATCACACAGTCAGCCACTAGTTATTAAGTACTAGTAAGTTAATAAAAGCTACTAATCAAGCTCAAGAAAAATATTTGTTTTTTTAGAGTTTAACTTTGTTTAAAAAAATAAAATCATAATTATAGAGCTTCTAAAGATAAGATAAGTAATAAAAACCCTGATTTTTTCAAAAACTGACCTAAAATTCCTGATTTTCCCCTGATTTTTTTAAAAACACCTAAATTCCCTGACTTTTCCTTGATCTGGCAGACATTCTGTGTATATATATACATATATATATATATATATATATATATATATATATATATATATATATATATATATATATATATATATATATATATATATATATATATATATATATATACGCCCACGCACACAAATTACTTTCAACAATGATGCAGGTAACTACATAATTAGTTCTTTGTTCCTTCAATTTCCTTAGTTTTTTCGTGTAACAATTTTTTTTCTAGTTTTTTATTTTTTTTCATTTATAAATTTTTTTATAATTTATAAATAAACGAATCTATCAAAAATAAATTACTATTGTTATTTAACTCATTTTTTTAATAATAAGTATTAGTTATTTAATAACTTTTTAAGTTTTAATAATATTATTTTTATGTAAATACTTATGCAACTATTATTGACTTAAATTTCATATCAAAATAAAATTAAAAATAAAAAGTTTAAATAATCTCAGTTTTGTTTGAGAGTACTATGCATAGATTATTAATTAGATAGATTCTAAAATGTATTAATAAAAAGTCTTATTCCTTAAGTTATCATAAGTTGAGAATCCTACTATATACCAAGTAAGCCTATGCTCGCAAAAGGTAAGACTATGCTCGCATTGCAAAAAATATTTTAGAGAATGTCTATAAAAACTATTTATTACGAAAGCCAAATAAATTTGTGAATAAATAGAAAAAAAATATTTCTTGCTAATTTCTAAGTGACGATGTGTAACTTAAAAGTTTAATTTTTAATTTATCTATAAATATTTAGAATATGCAGATAGTTTTTTAAAATGATTTTAACAACATGAAAATTGGTAAACAGCTTATGTAAAAACTGTTTTTAATTTAATATAGAAAATATTTTTTAAAAAATAAATATAGAAATATTTTTAAATTAATTAAAAATGTGCAATTTATTTTATAATTTATTAATTTTTTCAAACTAAACTAAAGACAATTTCGTCGTAAAATTGTTTTTTTCAAAAAAAATCAAAAAAAATCTTACGTTTTGTCAAAAGTGCCAACTTGCCTCTATTTGTGCAAACTTGCCTCTACTGTGTGCTAACTTGTCTCTATTGTGTGCTAACTTGCCTCTACTGTGGCACACATTACAAAAATAATTACCATTTTTTCTTTTAAAATATTCAAAGTGGAACTTGGGCAAGTTGGCACTTTTTTATTTACATGATTTAAAAAAATTTAACAGTTCCTTTTTTTTCTTCTATAAATATGTAAATATTTTATCGAAGGTTACAAATATAAATCTTTTTTATTTAGTTATTTGATTTTGATTGTGTTTTAACACACGTAAATTAAAAATTTAATTTAATGAGGAAAATAAAAATGTAAAACAATTCACTGAAAAAAATTTATTAAAGTTGACAAAGCTGTTGAGCCCAACTCAATAACATAATCAGAAATTAAAGAAACACTTTTAAAAAACTTTGGATTATCATTTAATTCATAGTAGTTTGAAATTGTATGTGGAAAAGCATAAAATACTTTAAGAAAAATCAATTTGTATTCATACTTTGACAAACCATCAAAAGATATTACTTATGAAGTAAAAGAGGCAAACAAAGAAAATCATTTACAGAACTGGTGATAAGATTAAAAAAAGAAAGAACATTAGAATCTGTTAATTATATAAACAACTTTATCACTAGCAATAGAGTGTATAGAGTTAATACACTAAATATTATAACTATTGCTCGTGTAGACAATGTACATTTTAAAAACCATATGGTAACAATAGATACCTTTACTACTATGGTAACAATAGATACCTTTATACTCTTGACAAACTTTTTTTATTTATTGTTTAACATTGAATTTATATTTTTTTAACAATTATTGTCTTGCGATAACGTAATAAAAATGATTATATTAACGATTTTGTACTTAACAAAATACTTTCCTTTAATAGTTTTTCTAAATATAAAAAAAAAGTAAATTAAATATAGAAACATTACAGTATTACATATATTGCCTTACATTATATTTTTATACTAATACTATGCTGTTAAATATTTGATGTGCGATTTAATGATCAAAGGTTATTCATATCTTTAAAACTATATTAAAGCATGCGATCGTTAAACTTGGAACGATGAATTTTGTTTTAAAACTTGTCAATAACACATTTTTAATGTATTTTTTTAGTATAAATACTTTAGTAATTATAGTGTTAATTAAAAATATCAAAAAAAGAGTCTTAATGTTTCTATTTATTAAATTGTAATTGAAACAGTTTAAAAAAATGAAAAACAACTATCTACCAATTTCTTCTGATTTGTTATTTTCAATCGCTAAAGCATCTGAGTCTAGCAAAACTGCTGTTTGTATGATCATAAAACAATACACGAGCTCTTTATCTATCGAACGAGCAAAAAGGATCTGGTAGAAAGAGTGGCTTTTAGGATAAGAAAGCTGCAATTAGTATGCGATGATTATCAATCAAAATCCCGGCTTATCAAGCAAAGAACAAGTCAAAAGATATAAAGTTTCAGAGTTTTTTAAAGATTAAACTTTGGCAAGCAATAAGCAGCTGTGGTTTGAGATCTCAAGCTTTAGTCAACTTAAAACTCGGATGTTTACATCAAAGAATACTTGCAAACTAGACTTGCAAATCAGACTTATCGAAATCACTATGTTCCCTGTTAGTTCTGGCCTAATCTTGCTTCTTGTCATTATTCTAAGAAAATTGGTACAATTCGAGAGACATCAAATTAATACCAAAAAGCTTGAATCCATTAACCTGCACACAGTTCCATCCCATTGAGAAATTTTGGGGAATCGGCTAAGGATATTTGCGTAGGAGTGGCAAAACAAAAAGTAAAGCTAAAGAGTTTGAAAATTTTCAAAAACACTCAAAATTTTGAAAAAGAGTGAGCATGAGTAGGGAAAAAAAATGTATAAGACACTGTGCAGAAATTGATGTTGTCAATTAGCGTAAATGATCGCTATTCGAAAAAATAAAAAATATTAAAATAAAAAGCACTTTTATATAGAAGTTTTTGCATTAGCTAAATTATTATTATTATTAGTTTTTAATTTTTTATTGTTTTGAATTTAACGATTGCATGTTTTACCCAGTAGGCACGGGACGTACAAAAGTTTTAAATGCCTTTTAAACGTTTTGGACGTCTTTGGGACGTTCAAAAGACGTCTTTTTTAAGGTGCGCTTCCCCTGGGTATTATTAGAATTAAAATTTGGACTAAAAACTGTAGGTTTGGGTAAATAATATACAGAAAAAACGTTGGTTTACCCAAAACATTTTTTTTTTCAAATGTAATATCCGGTAGTATAGTAGAGTAGTGATAGTAATACAATAACCGTGTAATCATGAGAGTTGGTTAAAAATTAAATGCTGTAGTTGGTCTAGTTATGGGTTGGCAAATGTGATCAAAAAAATTTCCATAACTTGCGATTTTTGTTCACAAAGTTCAGGAGCCGGAGCCGAGCCGGAGATTTCTTTGCGACTCAGCTAGTCGCAAAAAAAAAAAAAAAAACAACAACAGTCGGCTCCAAAAGCCTGGTAGAAATACGACACTGAAACACGACATTGGCAAAATTATTACCAAATGCATCAAGATTATTATGCCCTGTGTTTTAGATAAAAAAGAAAAAAAAACTAACCAAGACTTGCTTCCCATTATCCCAACTACTAATAATGCACAAAAAGAATTAAATGCCGACAGAACTTTGTTATCAGTTTGCAAAAATTATCTTAATGTCAAAATTTATATCGAAGATACAAAAAAAGATTTAAAAATTAAAGACTCGTCGGTGGACTAGGAGACGCAAATAATCGATCATGAAAAGAAACATAGATATTATATGAAAACACCAGTTAATGAGGATGGTATCAATCCTACTAAAACTAGAGATTGACAGAATAAAAAGAATGACTAAAAAACCATAAACCCAACCCAATCAAAAAAAATATATATTACATTTTTATATATATATATATATATATATATATGGGACTACCTGGTTTTTAAAACTAATGCATAGATGTCACATAAATTAAAGACATAGGGTTAAAAAAACAAGACCACTTGAACCAATATGTAATGACAGAGACATGGTTATTACTAAATATATATTGCAACTTTGGTGATAAAAGAGGGACATTTAACAGGGTCCTGAGGCATTTTTTTTCAAAGGAATTAATATTTATTATAAAAAATCTATGCACTCATGTACAAAGATGTTACCACTATGTACATATTAATACTACATTCTCAAATCAGCGTAATACTTTGTAGTTTCTTATCTACGTAATATGTCATGACACAAATTAACTGCACTCTTTATGGAGTCCTTCATCACTTAGCTGAACTAATTATTCTTAATGATGGCTAAGGCCTTGACAATTTATCTGAAGAAGGTCTAGAAGCAAACAATAAAGATATAAGAAACTAATGTAAGCTTTTATCCCAGTAGACATGGCATTTTGAATAACTTACAGATGTGATAATTCATTTTTTTATTTGATTCTGCTGTTTTAAATTGCATTATCCATTCGCATCTTTCAAAACTATGTCAAGATTGTTGTTCAAATGAGCATACAAGCTCATCTCATGAGCATGTTATTAAAACCAAACAGATATTTGAGAACATTATATATGATTAGTTATGAAATTATTAATTTTTTTTACTATTTTTACTTTTTATCTCCAAATATATATTGCAATATTAAACAAGTAGAACTCTTTCCTTATACTTTTGTTATACAAGCATTACTTGAAATCCAAATTTTTATCAAATACTTGTTTTTATGTGCTAAACTTCTTATCAATAAACATTGAAAAGAAGTTTAGTACTTAATAAACTTACCAGAGGCCTAAATTATTTAGTTTTTAGAATTTTCTTTTCTTTTATTACATCTAATAAATTATTCTTTTAAATGTCTAAAAAAAATTCAACTTATAACATTGATCAAAACACTAATTTTTCAAAAATGCCCAAATAATGTAAATTGAACCAAGTCCACTAATTTACTATAATATCAAAAAGTTTTCAATGTGTTTATAAGATTTCTTAATCATTAGCTATGATTCTATTTTCAAAACTTTGCCTTCTGGATCCACTGTGTGACACTCTGGTCTTGGAAAGTAAATTTAGAAAAACTAAGATCACATTTCATTATTTTTGAGAAAGCACATCTTTAAACCATCATAAGAATATTTGTTTGTGAGTGATGTGTTCACCGCATTGTTTAATACTTTGAAAAATAACATGTAACTAACAAAAATGCAAATATATGCATAAAACATATAAACAACACAAATGTACCTGGACTTTGAGGTCTGCAATAATCTTTCCGTACTGTGAGCCATGGTAGTCTACATGGAAAACATTTAAAGTTAATGTAAATTCAATACTTTTTGAACTATTGGCATATTTTAATGTGTTGTATGTGTCTTCGTAACTTAAACTGGACGGGCTAAATAATACATATGTAAATTATTTTCTTTTATAATTAAATTAAATTTATCACTTTTTTCATTAAAATATCTGACAGCTGCAATCTCTATAATGTTGAAATTTTCTCCCCAAGAATCCTTAAGTTAGCGTGTAAGTTTACTATTATGATAAGGAATGTGGACATTGCTCTAAAGAAATAAAAGTCATTATTTAAACGAACAACAAGAAAGTCACGATAAGAAGTTACTTTTTAAGAAGTATCCTCATAAGATGTTTTTCTAATATTTACCTTCTTAAAACTTTCCTTTCATAATTATGAAATAACAAGAAATTAATCATAGTAAAAAATGAAATATCCTTGATAAGTATTGTTAAAAAAAAAAGCTTTCTTTTTCTACATAGTTACAAAACTTTATGAAAAAAAAAAAAAAAAAAAAAAAATTTCTGCCATTGCATTGATGCAATTCCCAAGAGCAAGAAGTGATTTGTTAATATTAGCACCTTCACGAAAGCGATCACCTTGATTTGTAGCAACTGTAGCACGTTCAGATCCAGCTAAATCAATTAATAACATTTTAACCAATTTAACATTTGCACTTAGTCCAGAGTCTTTTGGACATTGTCGAACAAATACCTAGATGGGATAAAAGTAAAAAATTATTTTGTCAAATTCTTTCAGTCATCTTTTACTTGAATTATTTGCTGATGTGATGAACCAGTGACTTGCTGATGATTAACCTGTAAACACACAACAGGCAGCAATAGAGACTTAATGTTTTGCCAATAACAATATTTGGCATTTCATAAATGGCAGCATTTCTAGCTCAAAGTTCATTTACATTTAAAAACAATTAAAGTTTCCTGGAACTCATTTTCTACATTTAAATGTAGAAAATGAGTTCAAGAAAACTTTAATGGTTTATTTAAAGAAGACCAAATAATATAGAAAATTACTTATTTATACTTTATTACTTATTTATACTTTATTACTTTTATTTATCTACTTATTTATACTTATTTATACATATATATATATATATATATATATAATATATATATATATATATATATATATATATATATATATATATATATATATATATTAATAATATAGAAAACACAAAGAAACATATGCAGTCTTCTCCGTTTGTCGAGCACTTTCGCGCTCGCGCACATGTCCGCTAATACTACGGCTGAAGTAATATTGCGACAAATCTTTTTTCTTAACCAAATTTTCATAAAAAAGGTATAAAAAACAAATATTTTTAAAAATCACGCACGCTGGACAAATAATTACTGTCCAGCCAGCCATTTTTCGTGCGCTAGCGGTAAATTTCAAACGGAGAAGACTGCATATGTCATTGTCACTTAGAAATTAAATAGATTTCAGAAAGTAGGAGGTGACTTAAAGATCATAGAATTTTTTTTAAAAATCTTATGCAAAAGATGACACAAAACAATGCTGTTTATGCCTAAGAGACAGCTGAACTGGCGCTGAGCTCTACAGTCACGGCTGTTTCACTCAATATAAAAGCGAGCCTGACGTCACGAGTTTATCAAAAAAAAAAGTATTTCCGCATAAAAAGTATAAAAATTCATTAACTTTAAAATAATAGTATTTTTTTTCTATAAATGCTTTCATCTTCAAATAAAAAAAATATAAAAGATCTATCTTTCCTTGTTAAATAAACATTTACATTAAACGGAATAAAAATGAAAGCTGTAAAAATATTGTTAATAATTTGGCATCACTTTTCTGATTTTTGCGATTTTTACGCAAAACCTGTCTTAGGCCAACTAAGATTTGATAACATAGCTACATGGTCGATGGTTGAAATTTAGAACAGTTATTAATGAATGTCTGTTCTATCTAGATTTCCACAGACTTTGCAAGTTTTTATATAGAAAGTTAGTTTTTAATGCATTTATATTTTTGTTTTTATTCGTTTTGAATAAAAAACATAACATTTTTGAAAAGTCTGTGGATTTAGTAATACTTCAACCTTATATGAATAAGAAAATCAAAAAATTATTTTCTGTACCTCTAGCTATGTTATCAAATATGTTTTCAAACTTGGCATGTTTAGCGACATTTTTTTTAGTTTTTTTTGCATAAATTCTTGTTTACATTTTAAAGCGGTGACGCAAACTCGGATCGTTACGTCCCCAACGATTATCGGATGCATTTTAAGAAAACAAACAAAACAAACGAGACACATTTTATAGAATAAATAACAAAGTTTCGCGGATTAATTTCTCTTGGATATTTGACTAATTTCAGATAAGTTGATTAATCCGATTTTATCTAGTGCATCTATTTGGCAATATTATTCTATTTAAGTTGTTTGTATTATAATTTTATTACTATATCAATAAAGATTATAAAGCAAAGTTTCGTGGATTATTTCCTCGTGGATATTCGACAAATCTCAGATAAGTTGCTTAATTCTTTTATTTTTAGTGTATTTATTTGTAAATATTATTTTATTTAATTTCTTTTATTATATTATTATTATAATATCATTATCATTATTTATGTGATGTATGCAACTGAGAGGGAAATTTTGAAACTGTACATCGGTTGGGAAGATGGTTGGGAAAATGAGTATAACTTTAATTTTGTAAAGCGAGTAATTGACACTAGTAAGATCACTAACAATGTGATTTCAATTTTATTAACAGTTTTTCATCCAAAAGCGTTGTTTACTTTTTTAAGTTTTCTTTTGCCAATTGAGTTTAATATGCCTAATATTGATGTGTTAAATAAAATGTGCCGAAAAATAAAACAAAGAAAAAAAGATTCTAAAAAGTATTTTGAAGCTTCAAAAAACGAAGCATTTTTTAAAATGCAACTGTCTCCAGCTCCACAAACAAAAAAACAAAAAAAATCAGCAGATGCAGATAATTTTTATATTTTAAATAGGAATAAGGAACTAAGTAGTCAAGTTGAACAATTAATTTCTAAAGAAAAAAATAATGTGGAGCAAATAGATAATTTAAAAATACAGGTATCAAAGTTGGAAACTGAAGTTATATATTTAAATTCTAAAAACAAGGCTCTCAACGCACATTGTAACTCATTAAGTTCTCAATTAGAGACTATGAGTATTAGGCTAAAACAGGAGGAGCAGTTCCAACTTTTAAAAAAAAAAAAATTAAAAACAGCACACCGTAAATTTGCATCTGCTCGTGCCAAAAATGTAAGATTGCTAAAAAAATTTAAATTTGAAAAAAAAAATGCAAAAATCAGTGATATAAACAAGAACAGTTGCCAAATTTGCAAATATTTTGCTAGCAGTGATAAGGATTTAGTTGTCGTTGATTCTTATTTAGACTATGACAACATTGGTTCCTCTGAATTATTCTGTGGGTTTAAATTAAGTAATCCACAGACTATATCAGTTAAAAAGCCAATAGTTGGTAAGAAATATACTTACATTAAGTTAGGAGATGGTAAATCTTATTCTAAGTTAGGTAGGCATGCTGCAGCTAGACGATCTAAACTTGCTTTTATATTCCTTCGATTATTAGCTTGTTCAGATTTGGAAAGTGATTTGTCTATGTTGTTTTGTGATTCTGTGTCTTGTGAAAAGTCTATGTTTCATTGTGTTGCAAATAAGTTGGGTTTAGTTAGGCAGTTAAGTGTTTCTGATGCTGTAGAGCTGCAGAGCCAATTAAGGATGCCCACGGCTGAATTCCGTAGGCTAAGACGTATTCTGTGTAATCTTGGTGCAAGGATTCTCCCATCTGAGCCCAAGATAAGACAAGAACAAGAAATGCGGACAATGCATGTTAGTAAAGAACATGTTACTGTAAAGTCCATGTTGCTTTATCCATCTGCGAATGAAGCACCTTGTTTAGTACCTGTATTGATGGTCAAGAATTTGATAACTTATATTGAAGAGGTTTTCAATAGTCTGCACGTTCGTGACCACTTCAATTCTGATGTCGGTTTTTGCGAAGAGGTATGGCTCCTTTTTGCTGGGGATAAGGGTGGGAAGTATATGAAATTCCATTTTGAAGTTGTCAATTCTAAATCATCAGGGTCTGTATATGATGTTCATTTATTTTGTATGTATGAGGGTTCAGACTGTCGTGAGAATATTGCCTTAGTTCTCGGGCATTATGCCAACGACATTAAAAGAATTCAGTCGTCAGATTTTAAGCTAAAAGGCAAAATAGTCAGGTTGTTCTTAGGTGGAGATTTTCATTTTATCGATAATGTTCTGGGACACCAGGGTTCAGCTGCTAGCTTTCCTAGTTCTACAGACCTAGTTAAGTTGAATTCTCTAAGAAACCATGCTTCTATGCCTCACACACCTGCTAATTGTAACATCTTAAGGAGGACAATACAATCTCTGGAAAGTGCTTACAATGAGAACTTGTGTGAAGATAGACAAGGTGGAAACCTAAGAGCTCTAGGTAAGTTTCATAATTCAATTATTGCTCCTGTGATTTTCCCCATAATAACTTTAGATAATGTAGTGCCACCTGTTTTGCATATTATGTTAGGAGTTGTGTTAAAACTTTAAAAGTTATTGTTGAAGGAGTGTAAGATTTTGGATTGTCAAGCTGTTTCGTCTTTGTCGCATAATGAGAATGTGAGAACGAATGAATTGTGGGCTGCTAAAAGCTTTGAATGTTCTAAAACAGCAGACTCTTTACGTTTATTAGGAAATCAATTTGTAGACGTTGCAAATCTACAGACTCGTTGGTTAGCTTTTGATAAAAATATTTCTGAATTGGAATGCATATCTCTAAACTCCTCCAATAAAAAAAAAAACCTGTAAACAGCAAGAAAAGTGTGCTAGTATCAGGTGTTTAATTACTAAATATGATTGTAACATTGATTGGGTGCAGTGTGGTACGTGCCAAAAATTGTTCCATCAATTTTGTGAAATTATTGGTGGTTCGGAAAAGAATGTATTGTGTGATATAGAGAAGTATGAGTGTTTAGCATGTCAGGGTGAAGATTTAGAATGTCTTGACCTTTATATTTCTGAAAAAATTTCTTTTATACGCGCACAGCGCGAAGTTTTAGACGTTGAGTATATTCGATTGCAGATAGAGTGTGAAGACCTAGAAAAAATATCAATAAGTAGCATGGGGACTCATGAGAGGTCTCTTTATAAGGCCCTTGAAGATATGAAAGTTGAGCGACAAGCTTACCATGGTAATGTATTTGTAGGTAATCATTGTAAAATAGTATTAAGAAACCACTATAAACTTTGTAGTGTTATTGATGATGAAGCAATTAAAAATAGATTTGTACGTGTGTTTAGTGTTTTTAATAACTTGCAACCTATTCTTTTTAAGCGAAAATTTCTTTCTGATGCCGAAATTTCTGAGCTTCATCAATATATAAATTTATTTGCTATTGAGTTTCATGCTTGCTTTCCAAAAGAAAGTATCACGCGAAAAATGCATGAACTCATTTTCAATGTGCCACTATTTGTAAAATTGCATAAAACTATTGGGTTGCTGAGTGAAGAGGAGGGAGAGTGTTTGCATAATAGCGTAAATAAGGAATTAAGGCAGTTGCATTCAGTTAGAAATCAGGAGCAAAAGCTGCATCTTGTTTTAAAACGCTTTGAATTGCACAGCAAAGCTGATAGGAAGCTTCAAGCCTCTAAG